ATGATCAATTAGTCGCAGAAGAGCCTAACATGTTTGAGTAGGTGTTTCTTATGTCGTCGAGAAATGTTAACGATGTAGCATTAGTGATTAGTGCTGCAACATTATTATCAATGCCACTGTTGGACTGCGCTGTCGACTTTAAATCAGGTCGGCGCGATAAAGCGTCCGCGATGACTTTAAGTCGTCCGGAAGTGTACTCCCCGGAGAAGTTGTTATCCACAAAGTAAGGCATCCACCTCACCATCCGCTGCGAGATATATGGGCTGTTTACGGCCGTTTAAATGACGCATTATCTGTACAGACCACAAACGCCCTATCGCCAAGGAGATTAAAGGAATAATTCGTTATTGCATACTTCATGGCAAGGAGTTCCTTGTCATGCAATCGGTAATTAATCTCAGCTTCTTGCAGTTCAATTGAATGGTAAGAGGCGACACGCTCCGCATTGTCTGCATCGTTTTACATTAACACGCAGCCGATTGCAAAGTCGCTGCCATCACATACCACATGAAGTGTTCTGTATTGGCCTACTTTGCTAAAACTGGCGATAGTTTCAAGCTTGCTAAATACCTTTAAAGGTACTTAAAAAACTGGCACTCCATAATCACTTCTCATGCGCTTTTTTTTTAACAATTGAGAGAGATGAAGAGTCATCCCGGTGAAGTTGTACATAAATTTGTGCAAATACGCTGCTAGGCCAAGGACCGTTTGAGGTCCCTTAAAGTCGACTGGAATAGGCCAGTTGGTCATCGCCTTGACTTATTTTAAACTAAGGTGTAAGCCTTGTTTACTAACGATACACCCGAATAATGATTTTTGCTAGCAGCAAACATACACTTCTTGAGGTTGGCGTACAACTTATGCTTGCGCATTCGTGTAAGAACTTCATGTAAGTGAAGTCGGTGCACTTACAACTCTGTCTGCCCATCCATAGCCCGGCTATGGACAAATGGATTATTAAACTAACTGAATGCGAGATCTCTCACACCACCTTAATAAAAATGATGCACATTTGTTATACGTAGCAGGGTCACTAATCACCCCTAGTGTCATTTCTGATTACTCCCAAAGCATACCACTAGGGGTGCTCACTGCAGTATAGGGGATTCCATTTTTCGCATAAGGATATGATAGAATCCATCCATCATGTCCATACAAGAAAGATGGTACTCTTATCCATACCATCAATAATTAATTCCTTCCTCAATTCCGGCATTTAGACCGGTACAGTGGCAGCATTTAACTTGTTAAATGCGTGCACTATCCGCCATCATCCTTTAGCCTTGCGCAAACAGAAGCTCGGAGATATGTGAGGGGAAGCTGAGTCCATCACGTGACCTACAGCTAACCGATCGGCAAAGAATTTGTCGATCACAAGTATTTATTCAAAAAGCAGTGGTCACTCCTTCTTGACACAGTACTTCGGTCCCGGTTCGATCTCGATTTCATGTCGATTGCCTTAATCCTTATAAAGTTCGCATGGTAGGGATTCAGGAAACGTGTATTAAAATATGATCAAATCCTTACATAAAGGGTTAGCCAGAAGCGACTCCCAACACTAAAACGCGTATTGTTCAATCCGAGTCTTCTCATCGAGGACAATCTCGTCCATCAATAAACTGCTGAATACCCGTTTGTTCTCTACAATAATACTGCCGACCGAACGTCGGTCACCTACTCGTCCTCCGTGACAAGTACACAGATCTTCTTGACCAAGTCACTATGCAGATCTTACAAGAGCCACTTCAGTTCTAACTTTGGCAGTTAAATTTGGAAGCGCACTCGGATTAATTATATAAGCGCCTACACTTTCATTGTCATTATCCAAGAATATGTTGTTTTGGTTTCTTTCATAGAGCCATTTCGAAACGCTACTGAGGAATGATTCCCTCAGGCTAATGAGGTCTCGTTACCTCATCAATAACTGCTTATGTAGTTTTGTCCTTAAGTACATGAGGACTTATGTCATGCACGTCCTCTTGCTGTGGTTGCGCTACCACAGCTAGGTCATCTACGATCGACTCTCCAGCCGTTCTCGAATCATCGTGTTTCCCTGCGTGGGCAACTGTTTTATTTTTACTTGAATGTTGCCTGCTAGGCGTACACCCATGCCCTGATCTACTCGAATTTTTTAAGTGGTGGAACTTCAGCGCTGCTTATGCATACGCACAGCCGCCATATCTTCCTCCACAGTGATTGGTTGTCACACTGTGACCTTGTGCAGTTGTACCTATAATATTGCTGCAAGTAAGGTTATCGCACTCAATTGGAGTACATCCACACACTTGTGGACGCTCCATTACTTTCTTTTGATGGATGGAAATTTGATAAACAAGTGGCAGGCATTGAACGGTTCAATGCTACCAGCTGATCCTTGGCTTGTAACCTCTGATCCACGGTAACTATAAAATGACATCAAAATTTTCATTTAAAGCAAATACGACAAAATCATCATTGAACTACGAATCTTATAACTTGTAGCGAAAAATCACCCGCGTTTCATCACTGCTATCAATGCGCTTGTTGCAAGACGCACCGTCATATTCGCAAGAGAAATATCGTGCTCAACGAACAGAAGCCTACGACCCTCTAGCGACTAGCGACGAACAAAGTTGTGCGTCGTACGACAGTCAACTACGGCACGAAATAAAAATTCTTTTGCCACTTCTAAGTTCAAGGCGGTGAGGTACCCCTAATCACTACGTGCAGATACACACAAGGATTGTAAGTCTGGAGAACTTTTATTAATAGGTTTGCATTACACGTTAATGTTGCTGAATCAGTAGGACACTATGCCCCTTCTTATCCTAATTGCATTTAACGGTCCGCCACGCTGTTGTGAATTTGCAATAGCGTCGGATGTGCATCCGTTGCCCTTCTTGGCAGACGGTCGATCACTTCGCTAAGTGATACGATACACACGGCGTGAAGAAATACACTCGTAGGAGAGTTTCCGAACTTCTGACAGCTATTGTACGTTTTCAATTGCTTACTGCTTGAAGAGCGAGGTCTCTCAATCTCGACGCTGCAGAGATCCAGAACCACTGGAACTACCACTATAACTCGTCTCGAAGGACGATAGGGGGTCAAGCTAGTGTGAGCCTGTCTCACACTACAGTCCTTTGCATGGAAGTCGTAATCGCTTCCTCATTCGTATAAAACTAGATGCGTAACAGGGTTTTCCTCACGTGAACATTTGCTGATTCCTGTAAGGATTCGTGATCAACACGAATTAACTTACAAGGTTCGCTACCATAAAACTTGCAAGGTAACAAACGTCTTAAGTGTAAGCGTCAACGTCACGCTTACCTTGTTCTATCTTCAAGGTCCCTGAAAGAATCCTGAATTTTTCTTATGGTAACTCAAACGTTTGGCGTAGCAGTGTCTTATAAGACCGCCATTAATTAAAGAATGGGGGATTAAGTTCTGGTACACCTTAGAAAATTCGATTAGGCAAGTGCAAATTCTATCTCCTTAACGTCGATGTGGCGAGCCTTAATGGCGTCGTCCACTTTTGGAAAGCATCTCAACAGGGAGTCTTCCTTGCCTCCTCGGTACTCAAAAACTTTTAGCTTAAGAGTCTCGCGTCGACGCTCACGTATCGACGCTGCAGTAGCATACTAAGACTGTTGCTGCCTCAGGAACTCAGACTGTTGGTGACCGTGCTGATGCAGCAAGGTCGCTTCGGCTTGCGATGCATCGAATTTAAATTGCAAGAGCTTGGCGATTACGGAATGCTACTGGTCCCGACCCCTTAAGGATAGCAGCGTCCAAACAGTTTCTTCGCCAATGGTCAAATCATTCGACACGTAACGAGGCACCAAAGTAACACACTGGACAACCAGTGTGGAGATACTCTCACCGACAGCAGTGTGAGTGGGGCTTCGCCACCTCTGCTAACTCGGCACAAGAAGTAAAAGTAATCAGGAACTGACTAGTTGCTGGTAAAAGTAGAATTGTAGTAAAATGAGTAAGTCCTAATTATTGATAATTGTTTTAGTCCTACCTTAATTAATTTATCTACAATTGGTATGATAAAGTCTTGCTCACCACTCCTTGAACGCGTCTGTAGCTGATTGAGCCGCTAGAGCTGGAGGACATGATAAACCATAAGCCAATCGGTGAGTGTGGCTGAATATAACCCCTTATGGTAATATCACCGAGCACTACCGACCTTTATGATAATATTCTAATCAACAAGTATCAAGGATTACTGACATGCGACATTCTCACCCCGTTACATTGTGAGGTAGAGCCGACCTGAAGAGCAAGAAGTCGACTACGAGAAGATGACCTGGGATAAAGTCAAGATGACCCACTGGGACTACCGAAGTGGTGACAGGGCTCCCAGTAAAGCTTCCTTTGCCGTCTGAATTAAACTTCTCCAAGCGCGAGAGCAGCCCCGCCATCCGGTAGAGTGCACATGTAACGGGGCACCCTGAAGCTCGTACTGATGACAGTACAAGCTACTTATTCTGATGACAGAATAAGGCGGTGCCTCGGAACTTCACGTACACTCGTACGTGCAGAGGAAGAAGGTAAGGAGAAGCGAGTACTTGGTTAAAGTAAAAAGTAGAACTGTATTTATAATAGTTAATGTCTGTTAATAAATCACTAATTATCCTCATCTAACTATGTCTGAATACAAATGTGCAAATCAGTTATCTGCTCACCACTCATTGCGTGCGTCTGTCGTGGCGCGTCTTCGTTGGTTGATATAATGGCCCATATCAACCAATTAGGAACTACTCGTAACTGCTACAGAATATTTGTCCTTATGACAATATTCTGAGAATATAACTCTTACAGCTTTATTCTATTAACAATTTCTTATAAATAGTTATGTAACGATTCACCCCGTTACATCACCCCCCTTAACCATCAGTCACTTTAGTGACTGATTGACTAAATGGATACTCGTCCCAAATCATTTGGGACAGGGTTTGCACTTGTTGGTCCGAGTCCACTTTCCAACAATTCATCGCATGGTTAACAAGCCCATGCGGTGCGCGAGCAAGGCCGCTGAGAGCGCTTCTGCACGTCTCTGTGCGGACGCCGAAGCAGAAACCACAGCAACTGATGTCTCATCGGTTGCTGAAGCGACTCAGCCTGTGTCACTTGGTGATGCAGGCGCTGGTCATGAAGACACTCGTGTCTTCACAGAGTACAAGCTCGGTGTCTCGTACTCTCCTGATACGGATGACGGATCCCCTTTAGGTGCTTCAATAACTGTATAAGTTTCCCCACGTATCGACGGCGATTGAATCTAAGCCGCCTGCCAAGCGTGGCATGGACGAAGCTTTGCGTCGCAGCATCTTTGGTTCATCTGATGAATCAGATGAACCATCGCCGAAGCGAAGGCGCTCGAGGTCGCGAGACTCGGGCGCTAACAGTGGTGTCGGTTATCCTATGGACACCACTTCGCAACGAGGTGCCAGTCCTTCTGTCGGCACATCGCAGGAAGAGCGGGACCGCAATGTCTTGCGTCTCGCTCCTGAGAAGAAGGCATGGGTGCCTCCCAAATCAGTCATGGATCACTTGTCGGCGACGACGAGTGATCGTTATCGAACACGATTGTTCGATTCGTCAAGGATCCATCACCTTGACCCCAGCGCGAAAAACTATCGCGCTGAACATGAATTCTTCATCGATGCTTTCTTCAGACATCGATGGTACAGTGGGAATCACAACGTGATGGTCCCTCACTACTTCAAGCGTGGAGCGCCTACATCCATAACCTTGAGGATGTAGGTCGTGACGCTTGGAACGACAAACTTATCAAAGGTCGTGATAAGTTTGAGAAGCGAACCCCGACAGGTGCACGCTACAAGCTGCATCGTCTGTCTAGGGAGAAAGGGTTTCCCTGCCTCTCCTGGGGAGACTCGTGCCCATGTTGTGTGAACAACTCTGCACGAGCACCTAAGGAGGCTTACCTCCTTACTAGCCCGTGGTGGCGCGTACGGATCTCTACTGAGATGTACGAAGGGATTGACAACCTGAAATCCCTTTACGACCGTGCCGGGAAGACTTCTCCGGCGGTCCTTCTGCGGCACAGGATGTGCCGCGTCGTACTTCTCAACCAGACCCAGTACGTCGATCATCAGTTGGGAGCGGGGCTTCCAAGAATCCCAGGACGGGGGAAAGCCGCGCCACCGGACGAGATAACTTGTCCGACGTCCGTTCACGTCGCGGTGGTTCAACAGCTGCTCAACTAGATAGCGCTGGCCACCGCGAGAGTCCTCTAATGGAGGTGGAGGAGGAGGGAAGACGCTCTCCACACGATCGTGGGTATCCGTGTGTTCCCGAGAGCTTCTTTGATCGCGTAACGCAAGGGTTACGCAACGATCTCGAGCATGAGCGGGACAGGCGTCTCCAAATGGCGGACACTGCCTTGAAGCATCGAGCTGAGTTTGCCTTTGCTCAGCTTGAGAACGAGAGAGCTCTGACATCTCTTCGTGGCGAGCTAAGGGTAGCTCGTGGGATTGTTGATCGGTCTCGGGACGAGATAACTGCTCTCCAGACCCTTGTCGATGCCCACCATCGGGAGCACAAGGCTCTCTGCGAGATGCTTGAGCGCAAGGGCGTTCTTCATCGGAAGAAGTAGCGTACTGATGGTACGGCTTAAGCCGACCAACGAAAAACGTGGGATGCGTTCGCATCTTACGTGGCAACTCGATCGTGTATGCATTGCCTAGGCGGTGCAATACACGAAATGGGCCGATGTACTTGGGTAGTAGTTTACTGCTACCCAAGTTAGTCACTACATGCTTTGGTAGATTAACCGTAGACAGTAGGACTAAGTCACCTTTATTAAATAAAAGAGTGTTTGCCCTTCCATTCTTGTCAGCGTTTTTTCTTTTGCTTATCCACCGCTTCGGCGATGGAATCTTGCACAAAACGGACTACCGTTTCACGAGCCAGTATGAACTCATCTGATGAATCGTTTGCTTCAGTACGCTGTGAGTGCACTGCAGCGACATCAATCTTTTCTTCAGCGAGGGCTTCCTCGCTTTCACTGGCATCATCTTCTTCGATATCGATGTCGTCGATATCGGCATCAAACGCAATGACCTCTTCGTCAGAGCGTGATGAGCGTGAACCAAATCGGTTTTTGCTCGCGCGAGTCCCTCCCCCCTTAAACCAGAGTTGCACTCTAGTAAGGTGGGTACACGCGGATGGCGTAAGCCATTCACGTAAAACGGTGTATGTGTCGTGGACGCATGCACCGAGTTGTTCATGGCAAACTCGACCATTGGCAAGAACTCACTCCAACTCTTAAAGGAGTGTACGTATCCTCGAAGTATCTCTTCGAGGACACGATTGGCTCGTTCCGTCTGACCATCTGACTCTGGATGATCAGATGTAGACATCTTCAAGCGCGTTCCGAGTATTTTGAACACGGAACGCCAGACATCAGCAGTGAATCGTGGATCTCTGTCTGATACGAGTTCACGGGGCAACCCATGAAGTCGGAAGATGGTGTCAATAAAGACACAAGCACAGCCACTTGCCGTGATTGTCTCTGGTACAGCCACAAGGTGTACCATTTTGCTGAATCTGTCAACAAATACGAGAATACCCGTATTCCCGCGTGCGTCTTTGGGTAACCCGAAGACGAAATTTATTGAGATGGATTCCCAGCATTCAGCCGGAACTGGTAGAGGCTGTAAAGGTGCACGCAGTGAAGGACTTGACTTCACTCGTTGACAGACTTCGCATGCGCGAACATACTTGTGCACAAACTGATACTGGCGGGGCCAGTAAAAGTCTCGACTCACCGTGAGATATGTTTTCTCTCGGTCATGATGTCCTCCTATAGGAGCATCGTGATTCTCGAACATGATCCGCAAACGCAGATCAGTATCATCTGTAATGACAACACGTGGTGTATCACCAGTAACGGCTATATAATACAGTAAACCGTCGCGAGTAGTGTATCGATCTGATGCAGATCGATACGCAGACGATTATCGTCTCAACGATTCTCGAGATGGTTGTGAGAGATGTGTCAACAGCTTCACAATCTCAGCATCTTGGGCTTACGCCCACCTCACATCATCATGTAACGTTGGCGATGGCATTGTAAACGTCATAACCGCTACAGTGGCTGTCCCACTGTTGGGTCTCACGACTGGTTCAAAGTCGGGACGACGTGAGAGTGCATCAGCGACGACATTAAGTCGTCCTGGTTTGTACTCGACCGTAAAGTTGTATTCCGCAAAGAATGAAAACCACCGCGCCATTCGTTGTGAAAGGTGCGGGCTGTTTACTGCCGTGCGTAACGACGCATGGTCAGTGTAAACAATGAAGGGTCTATCTCCTTATAGATAGACTCTGAACTTCGCGAGTGCATACTTCATGGCAAGGAGTTCCTTGTCATGCACTGGATAGTTCCGCTCAGTTGGTTGCAGCTGACGAGACTGATAGCAGACGACGCGTTCAACGCCTTCAAGATCGTACTGCATTAATGCACAGCCGATTGCAAAATCGCTGGCATCACAGACCACATGAAATGGCCTGTCCTGATCAGCAATTGCTAGGACTGGGGATTGTATCAATCTCTGCTTGATACCATTAAAGGAGCGCTGACATTCAGCGTTCCATAACCACCTCTCGTTCTTTTTCAACAAACGAGAGAGGTGCACAGTCATCTCGGCGTAATTGCGTGAATACTTGTGCAAATACGCCGCTAGTCCAAGGAATTTTCGAAGACCTTTGACATCAACCGGCACAGGCCAGTCGGTGATCACCTTGATCTTTTCGGGATCAGGATGTACACCGTTCTTACCAACGATGCACCCAAGAAGTGGTACTTCGCTTGCTGCAAATAAACACTTCTTGAGGTTTGCATACTATTGATGCTTTCGCATGATTGTAAGAACCTGTCGGACGTGATACCTGTGAACCTCAACTTCCGACTTTCCATCCATGGCCCGACTATGGATGAAAACGTCATCGAAATAACTCGGCGCGAATTCTCGTACAGGTCTCAACGGATGTGATACACATCTGTTGAACGTGGCAGGGGCATTACTAAGTCCTTGTGGCATTACTAGCCATTCCCAGAGCATACCGCTAGGCGTGCTAACTACGGTATAGGGTATATCCCGTTCTCGCATAAGGATTTGATAGAAGCCATCCATCAAATCCATGGACGAAAAGATGGTACTCTTTGACATACCATCAATGATTACGTCCTTCCTCGGTATCGGCGTCTGAGCCGGCACCGTTGCAGCATTCAATTTGTTAAATGCATGCACTATCCGCCACCCTCCTGTTGCTTTTCGCACACAGAAGGTCGGAGAGCTATGTGGGGAAGTTGATTCCCTCACATGGCCCGCTGCTAAACGATCGGCAAAGAACTTGTCGATCGCAAGTACTTGTTCACGAGGCAGTGGCCACTGCTTCATGACACAGTACTTCGAGCCTGGTTTAAGCTCGACCTCGTGTCGAATACCTTTATCCTTCGGTAATTCGCACGGAACAGTTTCAGGGAATACATCCTTGAATTCAACCAAATCTTCATAGAGAGGATTTGTCTTGAGTGATTCCCACGATTGTGAGTCATATCGCTCAACTCGTGTCTTTTCATCTAGGACACTCTCGTCCATAGATGAACTACTGAGAACTCTCTCGTTTCCAGTGAACACTGTTGCTGACCTTATGTCGGTTACACACTCGTCGTCAGCGAAGAGTACGCAGATCTGCTTGACTTTGCCACTACGCAGATCACGCAAGAACCTTTTATGTTCGAGCGTTGGCAACTGAGTGATCTCCGAAGTCAACTTCGGAGGCGCAATCAGATCAAGTGTATAAGCGCCTACACTTGATCCGTTATTGACTATGACATTCAATGTCTCTGTCATTTCCTGGGGACTTGTTCCCTCAGGCCTCGAAGGACTTATTCCTTCGGCTTCCCGAGGACTTATTCCCGCGGGTTTTGGGGAACTTATTTCCGCTGTATTTGTAATATCGGGATTTATTCCCTTAACTTCCTCTAGCTGGGGTTGCGCAACCACAGCGAGATCCTCTACGAAAGACTCTTCAGTCGATCTAGGATTATCGTTTCGCTTAACATGAGCGATCGATTGTTTCTCTTCTAGATGTTTCCCGCTAGGGAAACATCTTTGTTGCGGTCCACTCGACTTATTCGAGTGGTGGACCTTCGGCGCAGCCTGTGTTTCCTCACAGCCGCCGGAACTTTGCTCCGAAGTGTAACTATTTGTTACACTAAGGTTTTGTGCAGTCGTACTAACGACCGTACCGCAAGTGAGGCCATCGCACTCACTCGTAGTACATCCACACGCTTGTGGACGCTCCGAAACGTTCATCAGATGGCCATCTGATGAACAAGCGGCAGGCATCGTTACTGTCCGATGTTGCCAGTTTACCCGTGGTTCGTACCTTCTGAGCCACGGTATTCCAAGGATGACATCAAATTTGTCATCCAAATCCAACACGATAAAGTCATCGTCGTATTGGGTATCTTCTAGCGTATAGTGAATCTTCACTATACGCTTCATGACGGTTACGGATGCGCCTGTCGCAAGACGTACCGTCATCCTCGTAGGAGGTGTGTCACATTCACTGAATTTAAAGTGACCATCTTCTAGCGATTGGCGTCGCACAAAATTGTTGGACGCCCCACAATCGACTAGAGCTCGAAGGGACAACTTATTCGTCACTTCGATTTCAAGGTAATGAGTGAGATCTCATTACCTAGAGCAGCAACGCACAACGTTTGTGTGTTGGGAGCAACCTTCATCAAGATGCCTACAAATTATCTTGACGTTGCTGGACCAGTAGGGTGCTCCGCACCTACTGATCCTGACCGTTTTTTACGGTCCATCCCGTTGTTGCGTCTTTGCACCAACAGCGGACCCGCGTCACCGCCCCTTTCTCATGGGTGGACGGTCACTACGCCCAGTGTTGCGAGACACTGGACGAGGGGCACTACACTCGTAAGCGTAGTGTCCTGTCTTTTGACATCTGTTGCATTTCTGAAACTTCTTGTTGTCTGTAGAGCGAGCATTCTCACTCTCTACATAACAGAGTTCCATCGGCTCTGGACCTCCGTTGTCATATCGTCTCGGTGGACGATATGATGTCGAGATGACACGAGCCTGTCTCAGACTGAAGTCTTCCTGTTACGCAATGGAAATGGCTTGTTCTAGTGAATCTAGTTCAAGTCGGAACAGTTGAATCTTGACGGGAACATCTGCAAGACCCTGCATGAACACCGAAACCAACGTGTGTTCATCTACCGGATTGGAACTTATACAACTCGTGAGATGTCGTAAATGTTGTGCGTAAGCGTGCACATCACGCTTACCCTGATTGAGCTTCAAGATTTCAGTTCGAGCTCTGAACTCAGCTTTAGGCGGTTCAAACGTTTGTCTGAGCCGCGACTTGAAGACTTCCAACGACCCAAACGCATACGGGTCGTGCAACTTGAGCCCCAGTGCCCAAGTCTTGGCACGTCCTGCCAGATTTGATTGGGCAAATGCAATTTGCATATCCCCATCGTCGATGCGACGCGCCCTTATGGCGTCATCCAGTTCGACGAACTATCTTAAGAGGGAGTTTCCTTCGACTCCCCTATACTTGGAGATGTCAATCTTCAAGGTCTCCGGTCGATGCGAGTGCATCGACCCACCAGCAGCAGCCTGCTGCTGTCTCAACAGTTCAAACTGTTGAACACCCTGTTCTCTCGACAACTCTGATTGTTGAGAACCTTGTTGGTGAAGCAAGGCTACTTTCTCGCGTTCGGCGTCAAGTTCATTTTGAATGAACTTGGCGATAGTAGCATGTTGGGCATCTCTATTGAGAGCCTCTAGCATGACGCTAACAGCATGGATGCCCATGGTTGAACCCATCCGTTCAACCGCATCCCATTCGACATCGCTCAAATGGGAGTAGCCGTCACGCGTAGCGTGAAAGCTCTGGTCATCTTCATCATCTGGGGGTTAGATGTGAACGTGGTCCTTGGACGGACTACAAAGTGCTACCAGGTGTAACGGGGCAACCTGAAGCTTGTACTGATGACAGTACAAGCTACTTATTCTGATGACAGTACAAGCTACTTATTCTGATGACAGAATAAGACGGTGCCTCGGAACTTCATGTACACTCGTACGTGCAGAGGAAGAAGGTAAGGAGAAGCGAGTACTTGGTTAAAGTAAAAAGTAGAACTGCATTTATAATAGTTAATGTCTGCAATAAATCACTATTTATCTTCATCTAACTATGTCTGAATACAAATGTGTAAATCAGTTATCTGCTCACCACTCATTGCGTGCGTCTGTCGTGGCGCGTCTTCGTTGGTTGATATAATGGCCTATATCAACCAATTAGAAACTACTCGTAAGTGCTGCAGAATATTTGTCCTTATGACAATATTCTGAGAATATAAATCTTACAGCTTTATTCTATTAACAATTTCTTATAAATAGTTATGTAACGATTCACCCCGTTACAGCACACAAGAATCTAACCCCAGACTTGGCCAAACGGACATTTTCCACGAGCCCTTTTGAGAGTGCTCCACCGTGACGCCCGACGTCTTGAGCCAGCAGAATGAGAAAGCTAGGAGTAGTAAGACTGTGCCATGGTAATTCACACGAGGTGGTAACCACAAAACCAGACATCTTGTAACGGGGTTATCATTCTTAAATTCTCAAGGTTTAGCTCAAGCCAGTCTTTTCTTACCCCTTTGAGGGCGGCCACTTCGGAGGGAATCCTCTCCTTGGGGAGCCGAAGGGGTTCAAGTTCGGTCTCGAGCAAGCTGCACTCGCAGTCTCGGGTGTGGACGCAGCGGACCGACGGGTCGCGCGAGCGGCCGATGAGAGCCACCTTCGCTGACAAATAGCTCCTCGGGGAGATACTACGATGGGTCGGCGTTCCCCACGCCTTGCTGTCACTTAGGTAGTCGCACTCCACGTCAAGGGGTCGCGCAAGCGGCCGACGGGAGCCACCATCGCAAATGGATGAGCTCTTCGGGGAGATACTCCGACGAGTTGGCGTCCCTTACGCCTCGTGGTACTTCGGTGGCTACACTCTACGTCGATGGGCCGCGCAAGCGGCACACAAAGGCCCACATTCGCGAATGGACCGGCTTTTACGATATACAATACGGCGGGTAGGCGTACCCCATCCATCGTTATTGCTTCGTCGATAGCGACATCCAGCCCGGACGGTCGCTTTAGCGGCCACAAAGGAGTCTGTACCTGATTCTAGTGGCATTCTCCTGGCGCGTCACGCAACTTCGGTTACTCGCGTTATGGGTCGGCTGGCCGCGCTAAGAGGTCACCGATTTAGTTGGGCGGCCGTTTGGACGTCTTGATATTTTCTGCTGCATCGGTCAGTGTTGCACTGAGAGCGCTTGAAAGATAGGCACGAATCTGGCTTGGGTTGGATGTCTCTGACCTCCGCTATTCTCGTCCCCGGCTCTTCGGAGCACCCACGTTGTAAATCCGGTTCCGGATCACACTTCCTTGAAACTTCAGTCGTCAGTTATTCGTGAATAATGGACGTACTTGATACCACCACGTAACGGGGTTACACGGCGGTTATCGAACCGGTTATTTTGTGTGTCCACACCAAGTAAAGATCAGTGGATCCGAATGGAACAGTATTGGTACTTACAGTAATACCGCCCTTTATCGGTTAGCTATTAGGAATAAGACTTGCCATAGGATCGCAATGTAGAAGTCAGACAAGATTTGTAATCTTATTACCGTAGTTAAAATATAAGAAATATTCAGTTTCCCTTTTTATATCTTTGTATAAAAAATGCCATGTAAAGGCGTAGTTTGTTGTAAGAGCATTAGCCTTGTCAAGGCGTTTACTCTTGTTTACCTAGTAGTGAGTAGTTAGTGTGTGATTCTGTGAATCGTAATTCATTTGGAATTTATTTTGTTAAGCTTGTGCGCTTAAACGACTGTACGTCGTCGTTAGCTTGTTTTAACTAAGAGACTCTTTGAGTCTAAGACAATCTCTGCGAAAGAACGCTAAGTAGCTCCGCGACACATCGCATTAGTGATAAGTAGCTACAAGGGACAGTCTCAGCCTTTCTTAATAACGTCGTGACAGTATAGAATTGGCCGGACAAAAAGCGAAGCGGCACCGGGAATAAATGTCTGAGCTACTGAAAAATCTTCCTGGCACTGGCTCGAAAGCCGTTCAGCTCCCAAACCCATTCATTTCTCCAAAATCTCGACAAGTGGAAGATGCTTCAGAAGTTTGGACGGGATAAAGTGCGTGAGTCGCACGAAGGGGCCGTATCGGCTTTGCGCGAAGAAGCAGTTCGACTACAAGTGAGGGAGCTCGGTGACGATGAAGCAGGTTCGACAACGTCTTCTGACTCGAAGGAGTCGACGGTACTCGATGAGCAAAGCAATCTGAGCGACCCGGACTCGCTGAAAGCCAAGACGAAGCCATTGCCACCACCGGCGAAGGTTTTGTTTCTCGATGGTATTCGTGGTCTCGCAGCCATGCTTGTGGTGGTGCAGCACTCTGAAGAGTTTTACCCGTCTCTACACCTCGGATCTGTCGGGGTTGACGCGTTCTTCATTTTGTCCTCATTCTTGCTGACGTGGCTGTTCCTGAAAAAGAGTATGAAGCTGATCGCTCGAAAGGCTTCTATCCGAACTTGGGCCATCACGATGCTCGACTACTTCCAAAAGCGCTTTTTCCGAGTGTACCCGCTGTTTGCATTGACCGCAATTGTGCTTCGCTTCCTGCCATTCGAGTACCAACGTCGGTTTTTCATTGTCGGGAAGAACGTCCAAGTTGATCTGTTTAAGATGCTGACTTTTGACTACGACCAACGCTTTTACGTCTTCTGGACACTGCCACTAGAGATCGCGTACTACTTGATCATCCCAGTCTTCGTGCTAGTCACCATCGGCATGCGTCGCTACTGGCTGGTCGGAGCAGTTCCGGCACTCATGTGGGTTGTACACGAAGGTTGGACATATGAAAGGCAGAGCCACATGCCTCTTCGTCCCCATATTCATACCTTCGTCATGGGCTCGCTAGCCGCCGTTGTGTACGTCAAGCTGGACTTGTTGATAAAAAAGACGAACTTCAAGATGCGTTGGTGGCACGAAATGCTCATGCGAGTCGTTGAGGGGCTCACCGTTTCCCTCCTGCTAAGTGTTTGTTTCCGGGGTCTGCTTTTCGACTGGGTGGTTGCAAATCCAGCAGCACCACCAAATGGCTTTCCATTTTCCAGCGTCTTTATGGCTCTGGTCATCGTGATCGAGATGATTCTGCCATCGTGTGTATCCACAATGTTTGAGTGGAATGTCTTTCGATTCTGGGGCAAAATCAGCTTCTCGATCTACCTGCTGCACACATTCGTTATCAATTGCCATCCAATCAGTGTGCAGCCTTACTTCTTCAACCGCGTTGTCGCTCGATTGGTTCTGATCATCGCACTTGCGACTTTGTCGTACCACCTGGTTGAGTACCCATCGCAATTGCTGGCCCAGCGGACTTCTCGCTTTCTTGCTGCACGAGAAAAGATTGATTCGGTGAGTTATTCGAGTGTGGAGAAGGTTGTCCTGAAAGAACAAGGCATCGACATAAAGATGAAATAGATTGCAGGGTATGGCTCCATTGACATCGACTATTTTCGGTTCATCAGCTCTTGCGATGGTTAGCTGCATGCTGAAAAGGGACAGAGTGCTACTGAGGCACAGGTACACACATTCGTACGATGAAGAATCCGCGGCTGCCAAGAAGATGACTGGCAGACCGCAATCTGTCTCGCGCTTTTTAAATGCAGAATTGACCGCAAGTTTCGCTTCAATGTGCACGGATAGCGGGTGGTTGCTGGTGCGCAGGCATGAAAGGTCTAATTGGCTCGATGCGGCTTTCGGCTCTCAGGGCTTTTGGATAACCGCTTTGTGTATCAATTCGGCTTGCACGAGACCATGAAGCTGGCATGACCTAGCTACTTTTACCCACGTCATGGATTGGCACATATAGCTACGACAGAAGTCACCCATGTTTTGCTGCCGAGTTCGTTGACCAGTCGTATAGCTTTTAAAACATGGCACTTATTTACACTGTCGACGATGAATCAGGGAGCAGCAGGAAGAGCTATCGGAAGTGTTCGCTACAATGTGCACCATTCCTCAGGGACTCTATTAGAACGTGGACTGCAATCACCAGCATCCGATTCATGTCATGAAGGCGTGTCCTTTTTTTAACAGCCCGCAATGTGTTGAGCTGTCGCGCTGCGTGCTCGTACAACCCTCACACCACTAGTCAATCCGGGACAGCTTTTTTTCTGAAGTGAGGTTTGTGCTTCATCTCATGCTCGCGCTCGTGGACATTTGTCAGCTGCTTGGTGAAACCGTGAAGCATTTACGACATCAGTTGCAAATAGGTGGACTTGTCTCCTCTTGCAAGCAGCTCGAAATGGATCGGGGCTTTGGTGTCCGTCATGCTAACCACTTCACTCGAAGTCAGTTCATGTACCCTTACCACATTGCTCGCCAGGCTCTACACAACAGGAGAAGGCAAGCGTGATGATCTCGTTCAACACCGAGACCAATTAACTGCTGGAAGAAGTCTCGTGGCATTTGCGGAGCGTACGTGCACGTTCTCACCTCATCTGCCAACTGAAAGGTGCATATTCACAATGAAGCATGCAAGCAGGCAGCACTTCTGAAAGCACTTACTTCAGCAAACTGACGCAAATGAAAAGAGAGAAACGATCAGCGAACAACAAAATGATCGGCAATTGTTGCAGCACTTGCACTAATTGTACACGTGCATTCAATCTGATCATTTTATTGCTCCGTGCTTCACGTTCTGTTACGCATTGATGGTTACGCAAGGCGTTGTTGACGATCAAGCCTGTAGAAAAAAGCACGGCGAACTGTTGCACAGCTATGGCACAAATCTGTCGTCCAGCTGCTGGACCTACCAAGAGCTCCTGCTGGAAATACTCGTGACGAATGAACCTGCTTGGTCTACGGCCTGCACTTACGCTCAATCGAACATCCAAAGTCGAGCTTCTTTACTGTAATTATCATTCCCTTAGTCTTCTACCGCATACATGGTCAACGGCGTACTCAAACCTTTCTAGATTTTACCAGCTTTCTTCTGCTGAGTCGAAGGGACGCGTGCGTCTATCAACAACGATACGACGTCCACGCTCTGGGCCACAGTCTCCATCCTCTGCAAAACTCGTGATGTCACTTCCATAATTCGGGCATCATCGGGTGTTCAGGTTGTCAACATCGTTTCCCTCAAGCGGCTTTGTGGGTGTATTGCACGAGCATAGTCACTGCTTGAACAAGAAGGTAGGTCTGTTCAATCATAAGACAATTCAGATCAGTCCTGCTCGAACAGCATATCAACAGTAGTAGAGCTCTACGGGGGAGTGCGAAAGAGTACGCAGCTTTAACAATATGGCACGAGAAGACACTCACGATTGAACCAGCGCTGCGCAGGCAAAATTTCAACAAGCAGGCAATGTGTAAAAACATTGACGCGTATCGAATGGACGTTTCTGCAAGCTTCATTTTCCTGGAGAAGGTCCTTCACTGCAAACTAACATGCGATACTCGAAACGATCGCTTTGCTGCGTAAACGCGCTGCCCGCTGACTCGAGTACGCCCATGCGCTTTTAAAACGCTCTTCGGTGCTGCACTTGAATGTGGACATGGGAGCAAGCATGGACCAGCTCCTCGACGCCGTTTCATGCCATTTTAGCATGGGTTTCGGTCCATAGCAAACATGCAAACAAGTTGTGCAAGAAGCAAGCACCGTGGTCGGAAATACATGAGCTGAAGGTCATTTGAGCGATCTGCTTTATCAAGAGCTCGAGTGGTAGTGCAACGAAAGCAACATCCGACCTTGCGACTGCAGCTTCAGTCCAGTCTTGCACTGACCAGCCATATACACTAGAACGGTGAGCTGCCAGTATGACCAGACAACCCGGCGCGTGTCTTGGACAAGCAGAGGTAACACTGCAACAACGCTTGAAGGTGTTGCAAGGGGACGTACGAAAAGCCTCTGAACTTTTCCATGGTGTGCCGAGTAATCTTGTCGGGGCCAACACAGGGTCGGATTCCGAGCAACTCGCCATGTCGAGTACCATCACGACACGACAACCACGTTGCGGCCCCTTCTCACAGCAACCCAATCTTAGGAAGCGTTTCACACCACCCCGTCTTTTTTCTTAACACCGGGAGATAACGCCACAGAATTGCCCTAGCAATCAACTGATTCTCTTCCTAATAAAACTAGCAGCCTTCCGACCGGCCTTTTTGCTGCACGACAGTGAGCGAATCAGCTTCAGAAGAGCCAAAATTAAAGACAAAACAGGCGATTGCTAAGCCGTTTCGACTCTAATGTAGTCACGGGGCTGCTCCAACGGGTGACTTTATTGTCGTCTTGTCCTGATCCAGCAGTTGGTGGTCATAGCATCCGCACAGGGTCGCGGGCGACTGATACCGTGGTCGTCGGACTATAGAGCGCCGCATGCCATGCGGGACAGCAAAGTCCAAAGCGGAGTCAGTATGCCCCTATTGGTTTTTGAACTGCACGCACGCTCCACCCAATTGTCTTGCGCTTCGAGACATCACGTCATCGAATATACCGGCGCCAATGCGGCCAAAGGGATTGTTATAAGAACCCACTCACTTCGCCAGTCCTCAACGACTGCGGACAAAGAGAGCAGCCGCAATTGTCCAACCAGTATCTTTCCACAACCGCTATTGTCGTGGTGCCTATTACATCGCCCACTATCAGCTGGAGCGCGAACGACACGGTACCTCTACCAGCTGGCCGTCCATTCTGATGTTCAGGCCAGCCCGTTCCTCCCTCACTCCCCTCTCTCGTCTCTATTAATATATCGCGCTCACTTCCAGTCACTTCACATTTAGCTGGGTCACTTGACGACGATCGCCCACGGGCGTCTCACGGCAGAGCGACTATTATAACCTCCTCCCTCTTTCTATTGCACATTACCACCACAAGTACCAGGCCAAGTCATGCAACTCCGCTTTCCATTACCACCGGGGTACTTTGCCAAGTTCGACTTGCTGCCGGACGAGGTGCAGGAGCACAGGATGCTCGCGAGCGACATCATCCGCGAGACGAAGCGAGATTTGGACCACTACGTCAGAAACGGTCGCAACGTCATCGACTCGAAAACTTGGAAACTCGCCAAGTCAAAGGACCAACTCCATTGCTACCGGAGACGTGGCACGGAAGGGTCAGCTCACCAATTGGGTCTGTACAGCGACTCCGGGTCCAGTCGAAGCGATCTCTTCGCCCGCTCGCGTCAATCAATGAGCTCCCACAGTCATTCTGGACCCACGGACATGGACCAATTGTCGTTCTCCACACGATCGACAAGAGACGGTGAACCACCTCGCAGGAGCATTCAGCCGTCAGTGATCGGCTATGGCGTCGTGAGCGGCAATGTGGACGACTTGATTTACGGCCTCTATCAGTCGTCCACGGACGAGATGAAGACGTTAGCGGCGTACTTGGGGGACAACTCGCTCATTGATTGTGCCGTGTTGAAGACGATCCGGCAGACCCGGACGTCCTACCTCGGGCTCAAGTGGAAGTTGTCTCGCACGGTGGGTGGCAACCGGGACTGCTGCTACATGGAGTACGTGGGGTTGTCGGAAGATGCAGATGGCCAGCACTTTGGCTACCACGTCTTGGAGTCCGTGCCCGTGCACAACTGTCCTCACTTTGAAGACAATTCAATTGTGCGCGCCCACGTGTCGTTTTGCTTTATCTTTCGACCCGGTAAACTTGCAGACCAAGTCGAGGTGTTCATGCAAGGCGCGTACGACTCATCGGCTGACGCGCTCACGGCTGGAGGGGTGGGTGACTATCGTAGCACAATGGATATGCTATTTAATCTCCCGTCTACACTGGTAGGCGCAGAGGCGAAGAAGGTTTCGGCTATGGTCGTGAAACAGTCGAGTGCACACATGAGTGCGAGCACGGTGGACCAGAGCAGCCACCACTGCTTTATCTGCCGCACCAAGTCGAAGCTCTTGTCCTTGCACTCGAACTGTCAGACGTGCGGCGCCGTCATGTGCGGCAAGTGCCGCATTCGAGTGGTGACGTTTTCCCGTCGAGGCAAGATCAAAGTCTCGTGCTGCAAATTGTGCATGGTCATGGTGCGAGACCAGTCGCCGTTTGCCGGCGAAGAGCTCGAGCTGCAGCAGTCCGCAAGTTCGAAGAAGCTGTTTGATGAACAAAGTCGCAGCAGCAGCAGCAGAGGCAGCATGATCGCGAAACCTGATATGATCAACTCGTCCATCTCCACCATGTCTTTGAGCGACTCGGAGTACGCCATGTCGTACCATTCGTGGCAGTCGAGCTCCGTGTCTTCGATGCCGTCGGATTGCAGCGACAGCTTTGACGGCTCGAGCGGCACCTTTAGCTCGTCGATCCTTTCGATGGACCGAAAGATGCCTGCGTTGCTGGAGAGCCAGCCTCCGGTGCACGCTCCTGTTAGTTACCAGTCCGAGCAGCAGCGCCAGTACGAGCAGCAGCAGCTCCAAATGCAGCAATTCCTGATACGACAGCGCATGAAACAAAGTGCCGAGGCCGGCTACTCGACGATGCCGGGTACGCGCCAACAGCCCACCACTCGAGAGGGTCTGTACAACCAAATGCTGGAGCTGCGAGTGCAAGCTGAGCGAGCCTACGACTTGACAAACCAGAACGGCAATATGATAAATTCCCAGCGATAGTTTGCGACTCAGCAGTTATGGACAGGTCTAAGACGATAATGAAATCCTGTTTGGTGTCTGCTGAAAGCTGGGAACGAGACGTTAGATGTGGGATCTTTTGCTGTCACCCGCGGAAGTCGAATTATTAGATACACGGCGTGTTGACACGGTGATAAAACGTTTTTAGTTGCTGATGTTTGATCATGTTGGGGAACATCTGGACGACGGAAAAGCGAGTGGGGTATGCATTGAGATGCAATTCAATGTCTTCGGTGGTGATGAAAGAGGATATGACCGCATTAGTGCACTGCCGTACCGGTAGGAAATAGCGCAAAGTGTAGCGTCGATTTACTAGCTGGAATATCGGTATTTCCCGTTGGTTACACGTGGCGAAAAGACCAGTCGTTTAGTTAAATAGCAACGTCGAACACGCTGTAAGTTTACGTCTTGGGCTATGACACAAGCTGCCGTCAATAAATGGCCAATACTTCCCAATTTCAAGTTGATCAAAGAGTGTGCACGTTATGCCTTTTTATATGCTCCAACGTTGTGCTTTTAAGAGCTCTAACGCTCAATTTGTGAATACCACGGAGATAGACGGACTAAAACGGTCGCGCGTTGCTCAAGACAAGTGCTGCGTGATCAATACTGGACCTCGTGCCGATCATGTGTGATCGATTCGACCATAGAGCAACTTCAATCATCACATTCTGTCGATTGGATGTTGCAGTTGCAAGATCACTTATTTTTGGACCCGACGAGACAGATGAAATAACATGTCGCGCGGACTTAAGACACGTAAACTAGGACTTGCAGTTGACGGAAGCACGGATCTTCAAGCGCTTCAATCTAGATGTGAAGAGTTCAAACGCTTGCCTAGCGCATATTTAAGCTTGTAGGTTCATAGTGCGGTGGTCGAATGCAGCCAGTTCAGCCTGCCCGTCTACTATTGCAAGGTGATCTACTTCAAGTAGCAGCGCACGTGACGAAGCAATAATCAGTACACGAATTGAAGCTCCCTTGCAGTTGAGCAAGGTCTGTGGACCGAGATCAAGTAACGACTGGTTGCGCGGGGCATTGAGGTGAGTCTCAGTGTTACAAACGAAGACACAGACGATACACACTTCCACTTCAAGGCCTTTGGCTGAATGTATCAGATCTATTAGACCGTGAATTCTATCTGGCCTTACTGCACTAAATAGGCAGAGAAAACAAGTATGTGCAAGTATGGCCCTGACTTATGCCCGTAGCCGATGTCGCCTAGCTATTTAGAAGTTGAATTCCATAGTTCTTTTTGTCTGCTACGATATACGTCAGTAGATTGAACGGGACGTAGTTGAGAACGCCTTGCTGTCGTTGGACCGCTCGATGGAGTGAAATAGCATAAAGTCAATTGTTTCGATATGAGGGCACGCATTAAAAGATATGATAACGTACTAGCAGCTTTACCAGAATATACATTCGTTTAAACTATGTTACAAAAGCAAAAAAAGTGCAGCATACCTGGCAAAAACTATACTGACCTCTGCCTTTACAATTTCAACAAAATAACTGACTGATGGAGCACCAGCTCCAATGTCGACATACTACTACTGCTCATGGACAGAGTACGGAAGCTATCTATCTTTCTGTATTCTGTGCTTCCTTTGAATTGCGGATTGTATAGCTTGAAGTCGCGTAATCATACCACGGACTGCCTGTGCGCTATTTTAAAATGAAACACAAATTTGTCGCGTAAGATGGACGTACCGCTTGGTCTAATGAGCGGCAGCTGATTCGTAAAGACAAGAATTCAGCTAAAATCGACGGGGCCGCCTGCTATTTGCAAGGTCTGCCAGGTTGCGGCAATCGTGTGAGCACGCACTTGGATACGGTTCGAATACGGAGAAGGCAGTAGAAGAATCTATGAAAGAGACCACCATGGCTAACTTTGCGCAAAGCTCGTGCACAGTCCGCTGTCTCTGGACGGGGAGTTCCGATTAGCCCGATCCATCACTCTTTCTTCTAATACACTCCATCGACCAACTCAGGTGAGGGTCCCGTCACAAATCGAGCGCAAATATATAAGTGAAGTCCAAATCAAACTCTACAAGCGCAATAAAGTGAATAGACTATTTTTGTCCAGTCAGAATACAGACGCACACGCGCTTTGCCCATCGACTACTGCCGGTAATTTGCGCAAAAACCAGTATCGTACCAATATCAATGCATCCAACACCAAAATAAAGTAATGCAGCCAGGACGATAAACCCATACTCAGCCTTTGCGCCGCCACGTTCCTCCTCCACATTCCTCATCTGATCCCCCCGCCCTTCTCATCGCCCACCCACACTGTTTCAACCCACTTCTCCTCTTAATTCCGCCTCGCACACTCCGCCGTCACCTCATCCCTGTCATTCTCGAATTTGCTGCCTCGCACACACCCGCGTCCGCCTCGCTCAGTCACCAACTCACCTCCTCCACCTCCATCCATTCATTCCTCCATCCATCCATTCACCTCCAACCCCCATGCATTCCGCCATCCGCCACCGCTCCTCCCACCTCCTCTTCGCCACTCCTTGCCGCGCCGCCTCCTCCTTCCTCAAACGCGACGGCTCCCAGGGCCCCATCGACAGCGCGCGCGCCTTCCTCGAGTTCAAGCGCGAAGCCGACCCTTACCGCGACGCGGCCGAGCGCGTGCACGACTGGAACGAGATCAACAGCAGCCGTCGCCCGCACAACGAGCGCAAGATCCAAGCCGCGCGTTGCATGGACTGCGGCACGCCTTTCTGCCAGACGAATACGGGCTGCCCCGTCCACAACCTCATCCCCGAGTGGAACGAGCTCGTGTTCCGCGACGAGTGGCAGGAAGCCAGCGACCGCCTGCACAAGACCAACAACTTTCCCGAGTTCACGGGCCGCGTGTGCCCCGCGCCCTGTGAAGCCGCGTGCGTCGCTGGCCTCGTGGACGAGCCCATCACGATCAAGAACACGGAGTACGCGATCGTCGACCGCGCCTTCGAAGAGGGATGGATCGTGCCCCGTCTGCCCCGACGCAACGGACTGCGCGTGGCTGTCGTGGGCTCGGGGCCCGCAGGACTCGCAGCTGCCGATCAGATGAACCAGAAGGGGTACCACGTGACGGTGTACGAGCGGGAAGACCGGATTGGTGGCTTGCTTATGTATGGGATTCCCAATATGAAGCTCGAGAAGAAGACGGTCGAGCGCCGCGTGCAGTTGCTGCAGGACGAGGGCATTGACTTTGTCACGAACGCCGACGTTGGGAGCAAGACGCTGTCGGTGCAGCAGCTGCAGACGGAGAACGACGCGGTTGTTTTGGCGTTGGGCTCGACGGTGCCTCGAGACGTGGCAATTCCGGGTCGGGACCTAAAGGGCGTGTACTTTGCTATGGAGTTTCTGACGAAGAACCAGAAACGCTTGATGCTCACGGTGGACGGGAAGCTCCAGAGTGGCTGGGACCGCGAGTTTGTCACGGCGGAAGGCAAAGACGTGGTTGTGATTGGTGGAGGAGATACAGGCACAGACTGCATTGCCACGTCCATGCGGCAGCGGTGCAAGTCGGTGGTGAACTTGGAGCATAACCCGGAACCGCCGGCTCAACGGGCGCCGGAGAACCCGTGGCCCGAGTACCCGCGTGTTTATGGCGTTGATTATGGTCATGCGGAGGTACGATCGGTCTTTGGAGAAGATCCGCGGAAATATGCGCGTGTCACGAAGGCGTTTAAGGGCAATGAGAAGGGTGAGATTACGCACGTGGTGGCTGTGCGTGGTCACAAGGACTCGAAGACGAATGTGATCACGGAGATTCCGGGCACGGAAGAGGAGATTCCGTGCGACCTTGTGCTGTTTGCCATGGGGTTCGTCCACCCGGAGCAGAAGATCGCGGAGGCTCTTGGGTTGGAGGTGGATCAGCGCCGCAACATTCGAGCTGCTTATGGAGACTACCAGACGTCGGTCGAGGGCGTGTTTGCAGCCGGTGACTGTCGGCGCGGCCAATCTCTAGTTGTGTGGGCGATCAACGAGGGTCGTGGTGTGGCGGATGCAGTTGAGAAGTACTTTTTGCAGGAAGGTCTTCACCCTGAGGTGTCCCAGAGCCAGCGCTTTGGATGAGTGTGACAAGGCTGTTGAAAGGAGGAATCAACGAGATTGGCGGACGACCGCGTGGTGACTTGCGGCAGTTGCCTCGATACCGAAGACGTTACTAGGCGATTTGGCAAGACTCTGTGAGTAGTTGTGAAGACCGAATTGGTGTATTGGTGGTAGGAGGTGGCGGTAATTATTGTAATGGCAAAGTTGGGTATGTGTGCAAATGCGGCTACGAAGCGCTTGTGTCAAGACGATGCATTGGCATGCGCGAGCAAGATAATCTCGTGGATCACGTCGACGAATGAGTGGTGTTCGTGCTCTCGTCCTGTCAATGTTCGTCATCTTGAAGCAGCAGCGCAATCTCCGTCATCATGGAGCAGCGGACAAGTTGAATGGACCCGTTTTGCAATGCCGACACGTCTTTGAGCCTTTTACAGCAGCAGAGAGCAAGCGAATGGTCTCTGGACAACGCAGAGATGTGGAAAATACTACGAGTGCGACGCAGTGATAGTGTGTGAACCGACTTTTGAGCTGCGACGTTGTCTACTCAGGGACAGGAAAGCTCATGTCCATCTCGCAAGCGCGTGCAAACGGAGACACATCTACCAAGTTGCACCAAAAGATGTACGAGCTTTATGGATCGAGCGAGTACTTGTCCTCGAGCGTCTTAAAGATACACACACATGAAAGTCTGCTGAACGCACAAGTCGGCCCAGTGACGGCAAGTTATGGATCCTGAAGGTTGCAGACCCCGCGGAACTCAACAGGATCAGCTCACGTCGCCTCGAGTTTGCTCGGACGCCATCATTAGTCCATTATCAAGTGGCAACACCAAAGTGACTAGGCTGGACACCCTTGCCAGGCGAAGATGTCGTTATCGATACGCCGCACATGAAGCTGCTTCTTGCCACCTTTCGGCAGTGGTTTGGCGGTTG